TTTGAAGGAAAAAAAGACCATTCATAGATATAGTAAGTAAATAATAGCTTATTTATACTTCTAGGCATTAGCTTACAATAATTTTTTTCTTTAAAAGCCCGTCCGTCATAAGCCTACTATTTTTAATATAAACGGATAAAAAAACAAATATATGATACGTGAAAGTTACCACTTTTTTCATAACTCTAATTGTCATAAGATAAGAAGTTAGGTAGAAAAACTTAACATTTACTTTTTTTTAACTATTGTTTTCAAATACGCATAAAAAGTAATTACAAAAAGCCAAGTTTTCTTAGACCACTACGAAAGATCTTATTTCGAAAGGCGTTATGAATAGTTGTCCTGAATGCAATTTGAAGTTTCAATGATTTTTAACTAAATTCTAACATAAGAACATATCAATATATTATGTCATATGTTGCTACTTGATGATGTGGTTTGTTATCACTCCTAATGCGTTGATTTTCTTTTTTTTTATTAAGTGTACTTCATCTTAATTGAAAAGTCCTTCCTAAACAACATTTTTGATTAAGAATTATTTTGACGTTCAATTTGCATAAATATCTTTTCTGTAGTCTTGCATCTAATTAAAGATAAGTAGAGTTATTTATGAAAAAATAAAGGCTTGGTTGAGTACATACCAACATTACTAAAACTTTTCCCCGAGATTTGTTAATTGTTATAGCAAATGCCAAGACTACAGGAAATTGCTTTCACTAAGGTATAAAAGGTAACGAAGAGGTATTATATTCCCCGTGTTTAAAGTTATTTTTGGTTTTAATACTCTATTTCCAAGTTTTTCTTTTGTTATAATTTGAGCTTTAATATACTTAGTCTAATCTTCATTTGTGTTTTGTTGTAAAAACCGTCTGCTATACAATAATTTCTTGTTAATATATCTATTGCTCTTACTTTTAAATTAAGTTTAGGCAGTGGCAGCTCTTAACGATTATTGTTTAATATTTTCATAGAAAAATTTATGTCAATGTTATTATCTGGATTATCGACACCTTTGTACGTGGCATAATTCTTGCTTTTATGCGTTGTCGTAGTTCCATCCATTCAATTTAATTAAATATTCAAACATACGTCATTGACCTCCTATTTTTCAGAAATGATTACTGATTTTAGTTTTTTTCTCTAATATCTAAAAATAGGTTCAAGAAATTTTCATTTGCGAAATAAATGTTTGTATATAATTTTTAAATACCAAAACAACCTTACATAATAATGACTTAATAGTTTTTGATACAACCATACTTATATTACCATTTCCATAACAGGAAGTATATGACGGAAACCCCCCCCCCCCTAAAATTATACAGTTATTTAAAAAATAAATGTGTCCATTGCATAAATTGCGCAAAGTTCTGTCTATTCACTTATAATTCTCTTAATTTTCTCTCTGGATTTTTTTTCCGAATCGTAGAAGCTTTCTCTAGGGCTTCACAAGACCAACACAAGACCAAGATTAGCATCACTCTTGTATTGATCTTAAAAACTCTTGAATATGGGCACTATTGCCTTGGTCTTGGTAAATTTACGCTTGTCTTGTATTGGTCTGGTCTTGGTTGTTGGCCAAAGTTCTTTTGAGAAAATTACACCCCCCCCCCACATACACACATTATACGAAGAAAAATTGGATCTACTGCATATTTTTGATCCTAGATCTAAGGCATGAAATAGAACGATTTAATGCGATTGATTGGGGAAGCAATCTAAAACAAACAAGTGTAGAAAAATTCGAAGCTCTATTCAAATCTCAGTATTGTGAATCAAATTTTGTAGACTTTTCGAGTGAAGAAAGCGATTTCGTCGAGATTCAAGAGGAGTTCTTTAATCTTAGCAATACTTTTCTAAATACTCAAACGAGTGGCCGATTCTGGCAAAATGAGCTCCAAAGATATGACAAAGCACTTACAACTACAGCGAAAATCAATGTATTAGATTAGTGGCAGGATCACGAAAATTTATATCCATCTTTAGCAATAATAATATGTTATATTTTAAGTTTACTCTTGTCATCAGTTCCAGTTAAACGCATATTTTTGGAAACATTACATATATTATTATATAACAAACAGAGAAACCAAGGGAAAGATGTGACTGTCGAGTTAATATTTAATAATGATGCTTAATTTTTAAAAGATTATTCATTTACATTATTTATTAAGACAAATTAAGTACTGATTAAAATTTTATATCATAATATACGATATAAAAGTTCGTTAAAATTATTATCTGAAAATCGCCGTTAACCCTAAAATACCAGCAGTGGATGCTTCCTATGCTTTCAACAAAGGAAAAAAATGTATGCCCATGTTTCTTTTAATATCTTTTAATTAAGTCTGTGTGTCTTGTGATCACATATATTTCGAGATAGCAGTACGTTTGGAGCTGCATTAGCTTTACTGTGTCAGTTATTTTTAATTTTTTTTATTTAATTCTGTTCGATAAACAAAAAGCTAGGCTACAACTTTCAGTAAAAAAATGTCAAGTAAGATTTCATTCTATTCTGTTCATAATCATTTTATAAAAAACCACCTTAAGGTGTTAAACCTTCCACAGTTTGCTGTGCTTTAACTTGTAGATTAAAAGTGCCTTAGAAAAAGATTATTTAACTAAATATTCCAATAAAAAGACCAACAAATATTTTAGAATTACAAGCTTTTATTGTATTTGCTAATTATTACGGTAAATTGATTAAAAATGTAGGTTTCATTTTAGAAGCTTTGTATGAACTCTTACATACACAAAAAAAATTTACGTGATCAGACCACCAGAAAAAGGCATTTTTGGAAGCAAAGAAAGCTTTTACTAGTGAAAAATGTTTAACGTTTTATGACCCAAATTTACCTCTCGTACTGGCAACGGATGCAAGCCCATATGGTATCGGGGCAGTGTTATCACATCGCTTCCCTGATGGGACCAAAAGGCCAATACAATACATTTCAAAAACGTTATATCCAACACAGAAGAAATATGATAGTACAATAGTACGATGCAATAATTATGTTATGTAGAGGAGGAAGAAATTTTTCCAGATTTTTTCTCCCGGAGAAAGAGATAGCAATGACGCGTACAGAACCTGAGGCAATAACAAATAATCCTATCACTCTAAGAGTCAACCTTCGGAGTCAACCTCGTTTATAAGCAGTAATGTCTCTACAGAGTCAGGTAAAGACAGTGTTCCACCTGTTAGACGAGCCAGAAGATGGAGAAAAAGACTAAAAAAAGGTACGCTGCAACACAATAATAATGATTTTACGATTAACAAAAAATTTCATACACCAAGAGTAATTCGCGTAAATTCGGTAAGAAAACGGACAATTTTGATCCATTTAAAAGACCATATTACACATTAAACACTACTTATCTTATACGAAGGAAAGAAATTTTCGGCGGCAGAAAGTGTTAGGTGAGAGTCGATGCTTACACACACATAAGTGAACGTGAAGAGTATGTGTGTGTGTGATATCTCCCACTATAAAATATAAGAATAAACGTTTGAAAATCGATTGCAAGACCTGACTGATCACAAGTTGTATTATCTAAGCCGTTTTTGTTTATCTTGGTATATTATAATAGCAGTTTATAAGCTAAGCTGTTGAATAAAACTTTTAAAATGTACCTCATGTCTTAACATTGATAGTGTATTGACAGTTTGCAATTTATTTCATGATGCATTTTATAATATGACAAATTAATATTAATTACATCTGTATGTAAGCATATTTAATAATTACAACTGTAAGCATATTTAAGGTTAATATAAGTGCAGGAAGTAAAATTTAATAAGAAACGTTCAATTAAATTAATTTACATTACCTGAGTTTCATTTTATTTTTTGCTGATTTGCATGTTATTAATTTGTTACAATATGTAAAACTTGCCTAACATTTTACTTTTGCTAAAGGTAGTTTTGATAAGCAACACATTCTTTTGCCCCTCAGATTTATAAAAATTTTTAATTGATTGTATTTTTTGTTACCTGTATCTCAATAGTTTATTTGATATGTTAGTGTTTGTATATTCATATCATCCTTGCAAATTTGCATTTGTTGTCTCTATTAATTTGTTTTTTGGTCCATGTTAACTTTTATTACAGTTTGTGAAAAAAAGTTTCATAGGGATCTGAGTGGTGACAAAGGATTATGCTTTCCAGTCTGTCTTGTAAGTATCCGACAGATTAATTTTTTTGTTAGGTTCACGATCTTTGCGTGTTGTATTTTGATCTCTATATAAGAATTTATAATTTTTTAGTGTTTCATATTTTTTATCGTGTGCATTTTGGTGTAAGTCCACTGTAGCCTACCTTAAGAGGTTTGTAAAATTCAAAAGAAATCTTGCAGTCAAATATAAATCTATTACTATGAACATCGTCTAGTCTATTTGTGCTTACTACGATTCCTTATTTCTCTCAAAATTTATCAACGTTAGCATATGACGTTGAATATATTTTCAACTTAATTAAGCTTTTTAATGTCACAAAACCTTATCATAAAAAAGAACATCAATAATAACATCAATATTCACAAGTCATGTAAGACTTATTAATTGAAACAGTAAAACCGTTATATTCTTAAACCTTATCTGTAAAGACCATAAATAGTATATAATACAAGAGGTTTATCATATTTAATAGATATATTAATCGGAAAATCCTACTTTGTTTGACAAATCTCGTCATCAAAATGTAGAAGTTAATTTGTTTTTTTTTTTTAACTGAGATATTTTATCATGAACTATACTGAGTATTATTCGTGTTTGCAAAGTAAATAACTTGGTTCTCGTAACTTTCAGCTAAAGACTACACTTTTTTAGGATTTTACTTTTATTACAGATTTTGAAACTTATGTTTCAGATTTTAGGCAGAATCGTAAGGTAACTCTTTTTTATTTTTCACACTGTAATTAGAAATATAATAATTATATAGTAAACATACATCTTATTCATACTTAAAATAAAAATCATACTATTTTATATCAAGCAAGACTTACTTGTGTATCGTAAGAAGGTTTTAAGTAATAGAGCGCCATTTCTTGATGAAAAACAGATGTGGCTGAGCTTGACATTGGTGGTATTATCCATACCCAATCGGCTGGGCATCCATTCCGTAATCGCATTTCATTATCAAAGTGTTTCATGAATGATTCAGAAGCAGTGTGATGATCAACAACAGTAACATTTGCGATCTAAAAATATATTTAAAACGTGTTACATAAAGCAGAACCTACTTTTTTATCATTGATAATGCAATTAGAAAAAAAGTAAGCTCCAAGCTGCATGACATTAATACTTTCTTGTCAGCTCAAACAGTAGATAACTTCGAAAATTTAACTTGTAAATAGTTGTAACAGCTTTTTCGACCGCTTAAGAAAACTCTCACTACCTGTATAGAGGCTTGCCTTGACAAGAGGCCATGTCACATGTTAGTATTTGTAAGGTGGTACGGTGGATGTGAAAAATATAGAAAGTATTCTATAACACGCTAAAAAAGAAAAAAAAAAGAGAGGGAGGGATAGAAAGAGAAAAAAGAGAGGGACATATTATGATAAGCATGAAGTAGGAAGAATAAAAGAATGAAGAAACAAGAGAAAAAGGGAAAAAGATGCCAGTGGTACTACAGTGTTACTTAAGTAGAAAAAAGAGGAGTAATTTTAGAAAGATAAGGAGAAAAAAAGTAAAAGAGAGAAAAAGAGTAAAAAAAAATATTTTGTGATGACCTTAGCTATTAATTGAGATAATATGTTAGATATGGTTCACTGTTAGGATCGTAGGTAGCTCAGTGGCTTCAGCTGCCATTTTTTGTAGTTTTAGGATGAAGGTAAAATCTTTGCTTATTTTTTTTGTCACTCTGGAAAACTGATCATTTATATTCAAATATTACATCTAGGTTCAATAGATTAAAAGCCATAAAAAATAAGATGACCTGTTCGTATGTGTACTTGTTGTACATTTACTAAATACATGGAAGTTTTCTACTGAGTTTTTAGAAGTAACAAACATGTGCATAGAAACACAGCATTTAAAAAACCTAATAAGCCGTAAAATGGTTCTAAAAAACTGTTAAACTAACATTTTAATGCACATTTCTAAGATTCAATAAAAAGTACAATACTGTGGCAGACAGAAAGTGAGTATTCTAGTTATGATAAAAATTTTAGAGGCAAAGCGTAGTAGTAGTGTATTAAAATACAATGGCTGTATAAGAGCTATATTTAAAAAGGACATAAGCTCACAAATAATTTTATTCAAATTTGGTAAATCGTCACATTTTATCAAGAGTAATTTTAGTGAACGTTGAGTACGAAGCTTGGCTAGAATAACGTACTAAATCTCATTTGTTATACTGCTTGTTGATGAGACACATACAATAGTAGTATGGGTACTATTTTTCCAGACACTCTCATAGATATATGTCATACGGCTGGCGGCGAGAGCGGCGGCGTGGCCGGGGTCCTATTTTGGCAGGCCACGTGATCCTGCGTGGGTAGCCAGTATGCGCGGAAGAGGGCGCGCGGTGACCCCGCGTAATTTAAATAGTATTACCGACGCTGCTTGGCCGGTACAATTTTTTTTTTTTTTTTTTTTTTTTNCACCAGCGACATCTGTTTCCCAAAGATTTGTTGACAAATGCGATGATTTTGCTGCAGGGCCGTAATTTAAAAGCGTTTCAATGTATGCTCTGTAAGGGTAAGCATTATTTGGGGGAGTCACGAGTTTTTGATTAAAATATACGTCAACTTAGTTGATCATTGAGTGTAAGAAATTGTTTACTGGAGCAACAAGCGCATCCCCATCCTTGTTGTAAGGTGTTACGTTGTTAACTTTAATAAAAACTGTAACAAAGGCTCGAAACACTGTCGATGTATATTATAGTGAAGCCTAACGACGATTTCTTCGATACATGACGAGCTTACGAGGTTTGGTAAATCGTCCCTGTATCTCACGACACCCTTCTTCACATTCCTTGTCGTCACAATTTATTTCTTCAATAAATCCGTCTCGAAGACGGAAGTGGCGACTCCGTTGCTTCAAATTAAGTTCCCATTTTTTATGGCCTTCGTCCAATTCTACGTTAAATTTATAAGCGGATTGCTTACGCAGCAACAGTTCAAAAAATGCCATCATACCCATATGATCTTGAGGTACTCTGGCTGCTATAGCTTTTGTAGTGAGGTGATATGCTGCACATTGTGATCCTCTTATGGTTTTATGTTTCGAGCATATTGCTTCCGATCCATAACTCAAATAATTGCAATATCTATCTTCATACGAAAAATTTACTCTCACATCACACCTCTTTATCTCCTTAAACTCGAGCCACTTGGAAACAAAATTATTCCACTTTCTTTTCCTCTCAAGCTCTTTATCTGACATTTCCAGACGGCGACCATAATCTTGTATATCCTTATACTCTAAATATTCCTTAATTTTTGCTGCGAAATTTTTAGCTACATTTATCAACAACCAATTAATATCATGGTGTATTGAATAAATAGCATAATCTATTATCTCATGACAATAGAACACGATTTTTGCAACAAACGTAAAGTTAACTAACACCAAATCGAAAAACATTTTGACCGATTGTTCGACCACTGGCTGATAGTTTTGAAAGTAGACTAAAACCTATAGTGTAGAGTAAGTAGGGTCAGAGAAATCCAAGAGCTATGGAATACTTATACATTTCGAGCAAATATTCATTACTCATAAGTCTACAGGGATTGGAAAAATGCATCGGCTTAAAGTCGAACATCGGTTAAAGTCAAGGAAGTCTACTTGATGCTTACGTTTCTCAATAACATTTTGTGTGAAAATTTTAAAAATTAAAAATATAATTCTAAGTTATTCATTTTCATCAAAGTACATCGTAAAACAATTATTAGGAGTGGGTGGTTAGGCGGGTTTTTAAAATAAAAACCATCTTAAAATGTATCATATACATATATTTTTTATAAAAACTCACATTATCGAATTAAGCTTACATATGAATTTTAATAATGTACTTTTCTATGGTTGCAATTAGATTTACTAGTTTGAGTACATGTATTGCTTACAATACGATTATTTCTATAATTTCTACGTCTAGTTATACGATTAAAAAAAGTAACAGCTATTTTATCATTTATAAGAGTATTTGTTAAAAAAAATAAACAAAACATGCCTAAAGAATAGTTGTTACACATGAAAATTAAAAAATCGATACAGTAATTTCCGCAAACAGTGGAATTAATATTTTTAAGCTGTTGTACATTCCAATGGTAAGTAATGCAGTTTCTTTTGAGTCTATTAATATGATGAGAGATCGTGGGTGGAAGACCATAGCTGTCGAAGTACACTCCATCACCTTTAATATCAACATATATAGCTACCCAATGCGAGCCAGGTTTGGAACTTTCGTCGGTATTAACAATGAGAGCGCACGGTCTCGTCCAAATAAAAGGTAACTGGTCAGCAGGGAATACGCCGACCGTCGCTGCAGGTATATTGCAAAGAGCTCTACGCAGTTGCAACGAGTCCATAATAACAGATGTATGAATTCTTATGAGTTGAAATCTACAACTACTTGACGATTAGAATCTATTTCCAATATGTTGTCAAATTCAGCATACAAAATGCAATTTAAAGTTTTCGTGAGAGCTGTCTCGAAACGCACCTCTATTCGTACTGTACCATTTTTTACTAAATTCTAATGACCTGCAAAATGTGATGAGAGATCAGGTGTAAGATCGAATGCAAATAGGCAATACCCATTGGGATAGTCTTTTCTGTGAATACTGTTTCCCTCGTTCATGTTGTAGATCCCGGTGCCCGAAAATAAAGTATGGTATGCTTCCACGTACATAGGTGTGTTACCTGTAAAAGTCGGTTGCAGCGGTTTACTAGGGACTTGTACACCGTCAACGTATAATGACAAAAAATGTATAGAATAATTTTGAAAGTTAAATGGATTTATCTTTCAATCCCCGTTGAAGGCTTCGTTGTTAACAAAACCTAAAATGATTCTTTTCGGAAGTTGTCCAAGGATAACGTTATCCAAACAGTCACAGCTTATACCACTATGTAAGGTAAAAGATTTGACTTCGACGCGCGTAATTGGATACTTTGCCGTAGTGTTAGCCAAAGTTTTTGCGTGCGCGATCAAAACTGTAGGGCTAACTTTCACTCGCTGAAGGAGAAGCGTAGCCTTGGTAATGCTGATAGAATAATTTTTCGTTGAAGCATCCATGAGACAAAAAGCATCTTTTGAGCGTATTAGACGTAAACGAACTTCGACGCCATTTAATAATAATTTATCCCGATTAAATACGTCGCAGTGTAAATGACCCATTAAGTCTATGGTCTTTCCGTCTTTTAAATATTCTTGACGTTTAGTAAGAGCTGAATTTTTGTTCGAGCCGGGTAATTCATCCATTTCACCAGCGACATCTGTTTCCCAAAGATTTAATGACAAATGCGATGATTTTGCTGCAGGGCCGTAATTTAAAAGCGTTTCAATGTATGCTCTGTAAGGGTAAGCATTATTTGGGGGAGTCACGAGTTTTTGATTAAAATATACGTCAACTTAGTTGATCATTGAGTGTAAGAAATTGTTTACTGGAGCAACAAGCGCATCCCCATCCTTGTTGTAAGGTGTCAATTTTACATTCACTCTGAGCATCGAATGGGCCAAGTTGATGTAATCCTCATTTTGAGAACTGATAACGAACTCTATTGGACTCTCGTCGCTTAACGACGAAACAGGTTTGCAATGCACCCATTGGTTAGCTTCTAATGCCGTCTGCGTGAGAGGAACAGAAAATGAATCCAATTCGCTCTTCAAGCAAGGGTCTGTGTGACTATGCAGGAAAGACATGATTATCCAAAAATATCTACTAGTTTTGATTTTTTACTTTTTACTGCCTTTCTGTTAGTTTTGCGAACAACTCTTTCTTTTACCTTTCTGTTTGATTTTTTTTTCTTACTATTTTTTTTATTTTTCTTACGCGTACCTATTTTTTGCTTGACTTTTCTCGAACGACTTTTTTTCTTTTTTTCTGCAGCGTTTAACGAGTTGTTTACACCACCGCTTCTATGCCAAGACTGTGCTCTTTTCTTATTTGGTAAAGCATTATATCCCGATCCTTCCATCAGCTTCACAATTTTTTCTGTAGCTTTACGTTTTAAATTTTTACCAGATTCGTTTGTC